TTATAACTTCATATGAAGGCAATAACAGTAAATGTGATATAACATCATTTCGTCATTTACTAGTTTTTATGGCAGTTTAAGGGTTAAAGTATGCAAATTAGCTTTTTTTTATTCAAAATATTTTTTTCTTCATTACTGATGTTATTTCATAAATTTTGGTGAAAAAATTAAGTTTGTATCTCATATACTTCCAAAGTTATGAATTAAAGTCTATTTTCTTCTGACCCCCCTAAAATTATAGGGCGGGGGGTATAAAGATGAAGATATCTTATTTTCGCAAGTCTCAAACTCTAGATATCACCCCACATCATAAAAGTAACTTATTTTCCAACAAGAACTGAAAAAATCTCGCGTAATACTTTCCAATATCCATTTTCACTTTCTAGCTGTTTCTCAGAACTTGGGTCCCTGAGTATAAAGGATCAAACAGCATCTTAATTCAAAGGTCCAATAAATGGAGGGAGTACAAGATACAGAACACGCATATGGTGCAACTATGTCCTAAACCCATTAAAACAATGATGAATGTATCTGTCCAACATTGTCAAAAGCAATCACAAAAGTTCTTGACTTTAGGATCAATCTGCCCACAACATATGGCAGGAGTAAAAGAGATAGAACAAGCGTATGGTGCAAGTATGTCTCAGGCCTCATTGAAATGGCAAATCAGTGAAGACTGCCTGGAGCTTGATGTCTACACCCCTAGTGAACATGGGAGCCTTCCTGTTATGGTCTACATACATGGAGGCATGTTATACCATGGTATGCTAGCATAAACTTAGGGATGTGTAAATTCAAAAACTTTACATTTTAAAACTATTTAATGCTATAACAAAAGCCTGTGTCTTATAGTTTTGCACTCTGAAGCATTGTAGCTATCAGGATAAAAAAATATGTTGAACCTTGACTGGACAGCAAATCTGGATTCACCATCATGTGTCCGAAAGAAATTCTGTGTAAATGAAATGAGTATTGCATTAAAATATAATTACTGTTCAAGGGACAGGACATAATTTCAATGGAACAGCATTAAGCTCTCATGGTAGAGTAGTGGTGGTCTCTATAAACTACAGGCTGGGATTCCTAGGTAATGCCTTGGTCACATTTGATTATGGCAACCATACGGCTGCCGTAGCTTCCCATTTGAAAGAAATATGCAGCATAAAATATAGAGATAAGCAGTACGATATAGATTTCTATATCGATTTTGTGAAGCTACAGCCGCCGTAGGACCGCCATAGAGCACATGTGACTGAGATTTAAAGTTAACACATATTGAAGAGAAATATGCTTATAAAGGGTGGGCCATAAAATGTGTTTTCTAAAAATGGTTATTTAAACAATGGCGCTGACTCAAAATCTGACTCATGATTCAAGAAAGGAAGACTCTGTCTGATTTTACATTAAACATTTCATCTCAAGACTCTAATGACTTCTAGCTTTTGCAGGGTTCTTGAGTAACAATGACAACGTCAAAGGAAATTTTGGTTTCCTGGATCAAGTTCTTGCTCTTCAGTGGGTCAAAAACAATATTAAAACATTTGGCGGGGATCCTAACCTTGTGACCATATTTGGAGAGAGTGCAGGTGAGGCGCTTACATTATAAAATTTCACGACCTGGTTGCAATGACATGGTAAGAATGTGTACGGAGCAAGAGTGTTATGGTAAATACCAAATGCCGAAAAACAACCAATAGGAATGGGTGTTCCAAAAGATGATAATGTAATATGATAAAGGACTGAGTTTACATGTTTTACAAATGCTAATATTTGAAAAACCTACAAATCAGCCAAAAAGTGATTACCTTGGAGAATAATCTTCACATTTTTAGGTTTTGACAACAACTTGTAATCAATGTAATATCTAAAGTTTTCCCTGATCAATTTCGAAAGAAGGTACAAAAACTGTACATATTCTGCTTACAGGGAGCTTCAGTATAAGTGCCCACCTTGTGTCCCCACTTAGTACTGGTCTATTCAAAAGGGCTATTGCTCAAAGTGGGACTCTGCTTACACCTGGTTTAATCCACCATGCACCTGAGTTGGACTATAAACAACTTGCCAAAACATTGAGTATGAATTTTGTGCCCATTTGGAATATATATATATATAACCTTCAAGCCTAACTTTAAACCTGTTTTGATGAGCCAAAGATTTTTATTCTGATGCATTATTTTGAAAAGCAGAGAGAGACTTTCATCATTTATATTCCTTGACCACTTTTGGTTTTAATTTTGACACTGAGAAATCGGTAAATGCCATATAATATTCAGCTTCTATTTTTGAGAAAAACAAAAAAAGAAAGTACAAATTAGAACAATTACTTTTGTTTAGATTGTAGCTCAGCAGATAAAACAAGTACATTGAAATGTCTGAGAAAAGTCCATCATACAAAGTTAGCAGTCATGGGACACAAGATACGAAAGATTCACTGGGCTACCATTGATGGAGTCTTCCTACCTAAGAGTTTATATGACTTATATGATGAAGGTATACATGCTATGTTATTCTAATTGTGTTAATGGATTATGCTACTGCATACCCCATTTCTCTGTAAAATTGAAATGAACTGCTTGGTCATAGCTACATATGAAAAAACAAAATTGTGCAAAAGTTCATAAAAAACATTACAATACTGTATAACCTTATTAGATATTACAAGGCTGTTTCAATAATGTTCAGCTTCAATCAAGATCTTGAGGAATTCAATTTGATTTAAAACAGTTAACATTTAAAAATTCAGTAAAACCTGTCTTAGTGAACACCTCTTTCTAGTTAACAATGAACACCACTTCAAGACACATTTACCATTGGCTCCTGAAATCCTCACTTTGTTGTGAACACCTACCTACAGTGAACATATTCTTTGTGGCTCCATATGTGTTCACTATATACAGGTTTTACTGTGCATGAATTATCTTATAGGTAACTTCAACGCAGATCGTGTTATGCTAGGCTTCAATAAGGATGAGGGGTATACCTATACAGGGGTAGGGGGAATTCTATATGACTTCAAATACACCCTGATTCTACAAACAGCTCACACTATCATCAACAAGTATGTAATATATGTGCTCTTCTTTTCTCAATTAAAAAACAATCTTTCCAATGCTAATAAATAAATAAATAAAATAAGTAAAATGCATTTTTGAGTAAAAAATGTTTTGAAAAGTATTGTAAAACTTTGTTTAAAGCATGGGCTTTCAAGAGAAAGCCCATGTTTAAAGTGACACACTAAAACTGTGTTTTCCATGGTTAACAATGAACACAATGAGAATTTTAGTATACAGTGCACCTGATTGAGTAGTTAGATTGTATTGAACAGATTCTACTAACTGAAAATGCAAATAAATAAAGAAATCTGCTACTCTTCTTGCGTTTCTCAGGTTTTCTCCAAAAAGGGTATTGTAAAGAATGTCAATTAAATGCCAAATAAATGATGTGAGATTGTTATATATACTCTCAAATATTTCTCTTTGTTATCCCTTCTTCCAGGTGGTACAGGCCACTAACCTTTAGTAAGACACAGACTGTAAAAATAGTGAGAAAATACCTTGAAGATTATGAAGATAATCATATAGGTACCTATGAGATGAAAAAGGCTCTAAGTGATCTCGTAGGAGACTTCATTATGGCATTTCCAATCATTGAAACTGCAAAGATGTTAAGAGGTGAAAATTTAACACCCCTAAAATTCCTATTAATTTTGAAATACTGTTTTAATGATCAGTATTTTATATGTAAAGTACACTATGTACCATAAAAGTCAATTCTGTATATGTCCTAGGCTTACAAAGTATAACTGGCCTAAAATCAAATTATTCTTAATGTTTCAGCAAAAAGGAAGATCGTTTTCCAGTATAAGTTTGACCACTCTCCAAGCTTCCTCGCCAAAGGGAGATCCATGACGAACATTAGTGCTCACTTTGATGAGATCTTCTATGTGTTTGGAGTAGGATTTTTGGACTCTTGGGTGAATGAGAAAAAAGGACAAGAATTCACAGCAGAAGAACAGGAACTGAGCTTGCGGATGATGACGTATTGGAGTAATTTTGGATACAAAGGGTAATAAAATACTGTGATCTCTATAGCATTGAAGCATGAGGATGCTGCATTCAGTTGAGAATCTGAAAATAACCCTGCGCTCAGTTAAAATCCATTTCCAATAACAATTTTATGTTTTTACTGATTGTTGCATCAGGCATATAGTGTTGATTGACATTTTTGCATCATGTATCATTGATATTTCTTCTAGTGGATATTTGACTAACAAAGTGGAGTTAGTGATAAAGTGAGTTGGGTAAATAAAATGAGTACTGAATCTTTTAACGATACTTTTCATTTTATTTTTATTTTGAATTTTATTCATTGATGAGGACTATGAGCTAGTTAAGATATAAATAGAGAGGAGTCTGATCATATTATCAATCAAACTGTTCTATTCTTCAGGAATCCAAATCAGGAAGGACTACCATTGTGGCCAGACTTCACTCTAGACAAGCAGAGCTATATAGAACTTAACACGCCATCTATAACAGCTAGTACACGATACAAGAAAGAAAAGTGGGCATTCTGGAAAGATATGGTTGAACAAACAGATAACCTTGTAAAAATGGAAGATGATGCTGTGGATAATGATACAAAGGCTAATGATGAAACTCCCAAAACTGAACTGTGATGTAGTTCTTTATTGTTTGTTTTTCTAATTCTATGCAATCAAAAAACATGAGCTCAGGTGCTTGAGATTACATTTATCCACAAAGTTTTGATTTGTTTATAGGGAGATTTGTTCAACTTTATATAGAGGTTCTTGTATGAGTACCTGTGCAAAATCGTCCATTCTTGATGAGCTTTGATGATTCTTCTTTATCTAGTCAAGTTCTTGGGCTACTTATTTTGCCCATGGGTTCCTAGAGAGACCATATTTTGCCTCAGGATAAAATCTATATTAAACATCTTCCAGTAACTTACAATTCTATAATAATTATACCAGTACTTACAGGTATTCTTTATGTCGATTATAAACACAGGTAAATTGTTTATTAAAGGGAGGCATCAGACTCTTATCCAAAGCAAACCAGTTGATGACTCTCTGGAAAACTCCAGCCATGAGTTCCCAAAGGTTGAAAGTTGGCAGAACATCATCAAGTTTCTAAAATAAACCATACATACTGTACTTTTATACAATTTATGATCAGGTTTATCATTCAGCTATTATGGTTTATAGGGTTCTGATGTGTTTTGTATTTTCTAATGTTACAAATTGTGTTTTCTAGATTTATTATTACATTGACATTTCTAGCTGATGTATACAGTAGAGTATAACTTTATTTTGACATTCATCATGTATACAATGCATGATTTTAATGATTTAATAATCCATTTCTACATATTTCTACAACTGTAATGTAAATTCCTTGCTGAAATAGTTAAGTTTTTAAAAAGTTTATCTCATTAACATTATATATGTGATCACATTATCGCCTCTCCATGTATATGGTATGTATAGTCTTAGTTAGTAATAGTTTAAAATATTATTTACTTATGTTTAGACATGCAATCTTATTGTAAAAGGTGGCATGCAAATTAGTACAACACAACAAATCGTTTATTAATTTATGTATTACATTTACGTTCAAAGATAAAAGTGAAGAAACAAAAATAGAATGGAGAACAGTACTGTGTCCTTTGAAAATACAGGTTTAGTAAAACCTTTGTACCTTTGTATACGAACAGTGAAAATATCAAAATGTTGACATTTTTTCAAAACCATTTTTAGGATTTTTCCTTGATATCCATGTCATGTAAGAACTCCTAAATGGATATAAAGGGCCAATTATGTATTATATACATCAGAGATTTTTGCCTTTATACATGTTAACAAGTATGTACAACAAATACATAGAAGTGAAATATGCAAAGTTTGTACAGTACATGATATCATACAATTCAAGATGACATTAAATATGAGTTTGTAACAAAGGGAGTTATTATAATTAAGTATATTTGAGAGATAATAGATGTAGGACAGAGGGATAGGAAAGCTCTTGCTTCAAAGGATAAAACATCACTTGGGTCATTTCATGCAGGTTTTCTAAATTCTTATGATTTGTCTCTCATTTGTATCATATTTAAAGTGTTGTAGTAACACTCATTTACACCATACTGTATCCAAGTTTCAGGCCCATCAAACAAAAGTTAAAATTCACTTGTTGAATGTCAATTATGAGTATGCTTATTTTTTGTGGCCATGTTTCATAACATATAGGTATTGAAAAATAGTTCAGCTTTAGAAATGACCAAGATGATATTCTATCATTAAGTACAGCATTTAGCCAAAGCCTTAAATAAGTTTTCTCCTACACCCCCTAGTACTTTGGGCAATGGATGGCCCCTTTACAGCCAAAATTGGAGCAATATGGCAGATATTTACAGAAAAAGTGTGCCTTTGATTGATTTATTTGAAATAATGTCAACACATTTGACAGCACTTTCGGAACATCAAAGTTATAAGTATGCTCAGGATACTCAGTGTCAAAAAGAGAAGCAGCCATTTTGCTCCCATTTTGGCCAAATGGGCCACGCTAGCTAAAATGATACACCTACAGTCACCATTACTTACTCAGTCAATGGTATGGGACCCTATCAATAGAAAATAATATAATTGGAAAGATAGAGGGGGCACCAAAAACACGAAAAGTGTAACTCTGGGTAAAGCAGTCCTTTAATAGCTACAATTATATAGTAGCACCGTTTTTAAACTTTAAAGAGATTTTTGAAAGTTGTTCCACAAAGGTTATGACAGAGGAAGAGGGAAAGGCTTAATGTGTAACACATTGGCTTCCAAAACTTCAAAAAAACATCCTACAAACATTTTCTAAAAGCAGGCTGGGTGATTACAATTTAGTTATAATTACTATTCTTCCTCTAAAAACTCCCAAACTCACAAAATTGAAAAAATCAACAAGAAGTTAAAGAATAATTAAATCCTCATGAATCATATTTAAAACATATCTATAATCAAAACATATATTGGGAAGAACAGAAATAAAATGTGCAAAGTTGATTATTATTCAACGACTAGGTTTTCAGACAAGACATTTTTCTATATAAGCAAGATTTCTCCTAGCTGCTCAAGGACCTCAAGCTATGGTGTATGTAGAAGTCAAGATTTAAAGCCCTATAAATAATACCAATGAGAAATATTTTCACTTACAGCATGCTTATCAATGAAGTGCCTCTGTGGAACAAAATTGAGATTAATGGTAGTGATTCATATGGAAGTAATTCTAGAAAAGGCATTAATATGCACAATGTCACAACCTGCCATTTGTTACATTACAGATGGCAAACATTGACTGCCAAACACCAGCCAGTGACTGCAGAGCACCAACCGCCAAACACCATCCACCACAGAAACGTTTGAGATGATAACAATATGTCACCACTTGTTCTGGTCGTGACATAAAAAATAATGTAGAAAAGGGAATTCTTCTCAGCTTCTATTGACTTGGGGGTCTACGGAAGCATGAACACACACTTTACTGCCCATGAAATAAAAAAAGCAAATCATAAATGTATAATAATATGTAGTATTTAAAATAAAACAATGCAAACTATACAGAGGATGGGGTACATAACATAATAAAATGTATCTACATAAATATGAACCAGACCATTCAAAAGGATGGATTTGTTTTAGGACAATATCATCTTCAGCTATAACTACAAGAATTGAATAGCTATGTGGACAAAATGTACAAACTAAACCATACATTTTTTGATAGTTCGGCTCCATCTATTGAACAATGCACAAAGTATTGTCACAAAACTTGCAATTTTAATTTTGACATATCCATCCTCCAAGTGCAGTGTAGTATATAACTCATTTATAATTCTTCCTCGTTTGAATAATGTACAAGAAATAATTAAACACTGCATTTGGACAATGCGAAATAATATCATGTGTATGTCTAAAGTATTTATGAAGCTTGCGTTGGGGATGGTGTCTCATTGTCAATAGTTTTGGGAAAATTGAGTTCATTTTGTAAGGGGAGGGCATGAATCAAAATTTTGTGAGTGTGAAATGTTGATTTTTAAGTAAAGATAAATCAATATTTTTTCATTTACTATAATTTGGACACCATCCCTCATAGATTTCATGGTAGTAAGTGAGATGAATAATGTGAAGTAAATTGTATAATTTTATAATGATATAATTTTAGTTATTTTACAGTCTACAATAAACATTAAGTTGTACAATTAAACTCAAATAAAGCATAATTTCAAATACAACATTTCCAATCATTTTTTCCAAAGCATTTTGCACAACCACAGATTAACTCTATGGTAAGTCTGTGGTCAAAGAGACTCCTTAAAAATGAATGAAATGAGATATCCAAGTTGTAAATTTTTGAATTTGACATAAACTCTACACATAGTGATTCTATATTTCTAATCTGCAGTGAACATTAGGTTTCAAGCCAAGAATTAACGTGAACAAAACAAAATAAAACTAAAATGTGAAGGCTTCATGCATTTGATTTTTGCAATAATCATCCATTGAAATTATTTAATTTCACTGAAATCACATTTCTCTCTTGCAGTCACAGAACATTTATCAATTGACTTGGCTCAAGATAATCCTTTTTTTTTTTATCTCGATATTTCAAATTAATTTGAAACAAGCGTTTTTCCATTTCTTCAATAATAACATCCACAAGGGGTCCTCAGAACACATGGTGGTGTTGAGAAGGGGTCTTAAATGTCTGTATCCACAAAGCAATGCAAGAGAGAAATACAATGGAATATTCACTCTGTGTTTTGTGATATGTAAAGTTGGTTCATACCTCCTCCATTGGGACTCTTAGTTTCATGATCTCAGCGTACCGTGTCAAAGTTTCCCATGGTACATGGATCTTAATGTAGCATATTGTACTATCATCCTGTAGCAGAAAACAATAATTACGTTAAAGGGCCATTAAAACTTAAAAATCATTCCTAAGCTACAGTAGTAGTAAGCAGTTAAACATATTCAAAACTGAAAAAGTTTCTAGCACCTTTTTCAGTTTTAATGAGCAATTAATTTACTTTCCAACGTTTTCAAACTTTAGTAATTTAGAACAGAAGGTATATGTCTAGATTGAAACAGCTAGTTAATACCTTAAAATTGACATAAAAGGCAGAATTAGATCTACAGTACAGGGGTGACCAAATTGCAGCAAAATTTACAACTGACCTACCAATATATTCCTTACAATTTCAAATATAATATCTCCCAAAAGATCGGTGAAGTTATTTACACTTCAAGGTCCAAAATAGGGGGAAAATGTTTGAATTCTTTATAAAGTTTCTATTAATAATCCCTGATATGAAACAGCTTGCTTATTACAAAGGCTTAATTGAACAACTTATTTTCAAGTTGACTTGTTTTGTACAATTTTGCTCCCTTAATAGTAGTTATGGGAATCGAAAAAAAATGCCATAGTGCCATTTAGGAAAATAACATTGTCATTTTCCTCATGAAACTCCTTGCAATGTGCTCAAATACAGAAGTATGAAAATAATACCTGAATATTTTTCTCTAGCTCTAGACCCTCATGCTGAAGGTTGCGTTCGAAAACAGTCCGAGTTTGTTGTTTCTCCTGATCTTCGTCCTTTGTATCATAAGCAAGAACGAAGTCTATCCTTCTAACTCCATCGTCAAAATGTAGATTTCTTCCCTAAATAAAATATACTTAATTTTGATATTTTGTATTGTGAACATCATTATTCATTTTTCCAAAGCATTGTTATTCTATCCTTTCATTTTTATATCATCATGATAGCCATAAAAAAAAGAAATATGATCGAATGAATAAGATGATGGATGAAATAACATCGTTTACTTTCTTTAAACCCCATTGCTGTAACATGAACATGTGACACATGCACCTATATACAAGATAGGAAAAATAAAAATATAAGAACGAAGACTTTGAGAAAGAAATAGAATTTACCTCAGGGAAAGTTTCCATCTTTACTCTTGGTTTAGTGTTTTCCTCATCGATATTAGGTATGTCAAGAGCACTGTAATATATGCTCATATCAGTTGCAGTGCTTGGTGCCACTAAAAACGGAAGACAATATAATTACAGAACTAATATAACATATGGAACACAACTTAGTGCAAATTAATGAGAAAATGATAGCAGGGCTTGTGCCAACTATCTCCAGCTTTAAAAAAGGGCACTGCATCTAAATGAGATTTGGAAAGATGCTTGCCCCTACCTAAAGATCCATTTCCATTCATTTGAAAATGAGAGAAACCATGAAGATGAAGCATATTTTAACCAATATAGGTCTGAAATGTTAGAATTAGGTTTTTGCATACACTTTAGAAAAATTCTGTGACTTGGGAAAAACACTCGTTAGAGAGAGAATATGAAAGTTAGAGTTGTGCAATTAATGTCTATCTACCTGCTTTGTCCTGACATGGTTAACTGTTAATGCTCCAAGTCTGCACTCAATGCTGCACTCACACTCGATGCCTCAGGATGTTGCACTCAATGCTATAAGTGCACTACTATATAGATCATGCACTATCAGATTACTTTAGCCACATATATAATCCAATTGTAGTGGGTGAAGTGTTCCAGACTTGTAAAATGTGAAAGACTGCATCAACTATATTAGGTCACATTTGACTATATGTCACACTTGAGTTATTTTTCACACTTGGATATGTCACACTTTTCTATTACTATATATCCTATATTCAAAGTATTGTCACACCATGCAATTATTAATTGGTTATTTAGTGTCAGGTCTGTCGGTTATGTCACAGTTGACATATATGTCACACTTGACTTAAATGCGTGCTGCACACTAACTATGTATGTTGCATATCACTGGCCTTCCATCCTTGTATTGGTCACACCATGCACTATGTCAGCAGTGAGTCTTTTGTTATGAGCTGCCTATGGTTATTTCTTCAAACATTCACCATACAATTTAGAGCACTGGAAAACAACATGTGAAATTACATGCAGACATTACAATCACTATTATCTTGCTATTAGATTGATTAGACTCCGGAAATTGCTGGTAATTTGGTTTTCTACTCATTAACTATGAAACAAAATTCTATTACATTATGTAGTAATTTCCATATATTCGGTAACGTGTGATGCAATTTGTCAATTTTCTTTTATAATATTAGTTCGTTATTCTTTTTTTCAATATTTTCAGGATATGATGAAATCTTAAATGATGAATCTTAAACATATGTGTATAAAAACATATTTCACAGTATAAAGTATAAATACAAGATGTTCTCAATCATCATAATTTATCTCTCTCTATAATAAGTTGATTTATTTCTAGTCCAGGATGTCTCTTGTTATCATAGTGATTGTCTATATTTTTGAGACTTATATTAGCAAGACCCAAAAGATTAATTGTGAATCAATTTTATATCTGAACACCTCTATGATTTGATGAACACTCTCTCTCAGTCCCAATTTTGTAACATCCCACAGACTCATTTCAAACTTTGAAATGTGAACACCTACTATTTTGAACACTTTTGGTCATATAATCCAACAAGGCATTAACATGCAAAATGTCACCACCTGTCATTTGTTACAGACACAAACTGCCGAATGCCATTTGCAACATAGACATCATATATTGGAATTACACCTACGATGTAAAAGCGCTTTTTAAAATCCTATCGGGTTTCGACCCGCCTTTAGAGTCAGGTGTAATCACGATCGCGGATTTAGAAAAGCGCTTTTGTAATCCTCCCAGACCCCTAGTCATTAAAAACCGCTTTCACACCCAAAGGCGGTTTAACGTGTAGGTGTAATACCGATTGGTTTTCAAGGCGCTTTAACGGCATTCCTGTAACGCGTATCCTGTCGACGAATATGAGGTTCCAGCAAGTTCACTACATTGCCAAATGTCTCTCTACCCATCCGAAAGTTCCTTCGGAAATCATCATTATTCCACGTTCTACAAAGAACAACGCAATTTGTAAATAGAATAACCGTAAATTAAATAAATAATATAATACTATTGACGACGGATATTGATGATTCAGCATCCCGAACAGAAGAAAGTAGCTAATATTTTGAGCACCATAGTATTATGATAATAGCTCTTCTCGATCACTTTGACGCTCACTGGGCCAAAAATCTAAAGTCTTATATTTATACGCCCATGGGCGTATAAAAAATGATAAAATAACGGACGAAATTTCCCCTTCTTTCAGTTATACGCCCAGGGCTTATATACGAGAAATTCCGGTACTATTGTAGATTGGGGAAGGCGAGGGGAGGGGATGATTGAATAGTTGAAATTACCTCTCTACAATGAAGTCAAAAAAATGACGAGATCTTTGTCTTGTCCACATCGTTCGTTCCTGTCCCATATTACCAAGGATGCCAAACAGCCCCAACAAAAGTACCATCTTCATTTTACTGGATCTCTCTTGGATCTCTCCTAACGACCGAGCTTCTCTCTTTGCGCGCTTGTGCATTGTTTTCCATGCTTTCTTTAGCACATATTTGTTAACGCCAGAGGTAGATTGAATACGATTTAAGAAAAAAAGGAACATACAGTATCGGATCATTTTGAATCTCCAGAGATGGCGCTACGGTTGAAAGTGTATATATATCTAAATAGCAGATTTTGATGCAAATGCGATGGTTGATGGCAAATTTTTGTCTTAAATCAGTCTAAAAGCGCTTTAGAAAAATCAAGTGTAATCACGAAAAGTTGTCTTCAAGGCGCTTTTAAAATTCTGGTGTAATCAGGATTGCGGTTTTCTAGCCTACGTTACCCAAAACGCCTTGAAAACGCCTTTAGCCATGAAATAGGTGTAATTCCACTAATAGAGAACTAATATGAAACATTTTGACATTATGCATGTATTGTCTCTTTTAAGAAGCAAAATTGTCAAACCCATATCAGACATTTATTTCTAATCTGGTCTAATAAATGGCAAAACAATTTATGTTATTCTTATATTTATAATAAAAACTTTTTTATCAAGGATTCAAGGTTCATGAGGCTATTTTCAGGTGAATATTGGGTTCAATGCTAACAGTCAAATAAATGCAAATAAATAGCTATAAAAATACCCCATATGCTACAGCTATGTATAAGGTACAGTTAGGCTAAGTACAGTATTACTTTAGGTTAAATATTTACCTGTGATCTCATGGAAAATCATTATCAGAGAAATATAAATAAGGCGGCATATGGATGTGATAACACAAATGTTATTATGACATATTTGGTAATGTGGCTAAGTTATCATTACGATTATTACATGGAATACAATTGGACCTTTAACACTGAAATAATACTTTAAAACAATACAGAAATTGATGGGATTTGTAATACAGGCATTAACCTACATGTAGTGTACATGTACATGTTTATACTTAAAGTATACATATATGTGAGTACTGTATATGTAACTTCGTGAGCTTTAAATAATTGAGGCATGTAAAAGTGAAACAAAATTGGCATTTCAACATTTATCCTATATGTATGAAAACATTTTGCCAAAAGGTTGACATCAATAACATGGAAAAGTAGCCCTAAGGGCAGAAGGTCAAAAACAATAAAGATGCAAAAAGTTACAAAGGATCATAAAAATATACAATGGCAAAGGTAAGCTTCACAAAATTATATTTCGGACTATGCATTTATGCATGTACATTGTACATCCATAATTTCAAATATATATTTTACATGCGATGGAAATAAAGCATCATTTTTTGTAATTTTCATTATTTCTCTCATAAAAATTATACTGTGAGATGATGATTTTCCTGAAAAGGGGTTCAAAATTCATCTAGTCCTATCCCTTCTGGTATCCATTCTATAAACCTTGATGACTGATGGAGGGGGAGAGGGGGCAGTGGGGAAGGGGAGAGGCAGTAGTTGGGGGAGGGGAGAGGGGATTGTGGGGGAGGGGGCAGTGGGGGGAGGGGAGAAGGGAATACGGGAAGTGTAATACAGAAAGGCAAAGTCAAACCAACTACTCTTATGTGAAAGACATACAAATGTATTAAGCCTTCCCCTTCCATCAATCATGTTGTTTCTTGCAGTTTGTAAATGTCACAAACATAGTAAAAGATATCATAAACATAGGAAAGGCTGTAGTATACTGAGATTATATCTACAGAAGAGGAACAGCTATGATATCTGTTAAGTGTAGTTTGCTATGATATCTGTTAAGTGTAGTTTGCTATGATATATGTAGTTTCAGTCAAAAATTCAAAAAATATATAATGATTTTTAGATTTAAGATAAATGATAGAAATTAAACTAGACATGAGTATCTTGATGTTATAGTTCAGCAAGTTAATTAAGAGTGGTATTTTCATTATTTTTTGGTTATTATACTTTTAATTGATTGAACTGCAACAAAGTATTAGGCTGGAAGTTGTATGTACTAAATTATTTTAATAGGACAATAAATAAGAGTACTTTACTTTTTTCCCTAAATGTGATCTCATATAAAGTAAGTGTAACAGTAATTACTTGCTGTGATAAATGGACTGTACGTGATTTATAAAAATACTACTACAGTAAAACATGTGGACAGTGAACACCTATGGAGCAACAAAAATGTGCTCATTCTTGGTAGGTGACAAGTTTAACTGTATGTGTTTTCTCATGAAATGGATATGAGCATTTGACAATAATAAGTTTTTATTTGTCCAGAAATTGTTGATAGACACACAGACAGATGGACTAGTGGGTAATTTTATAGGCTAATCCCATGGTGAGCAAAGAAGAACAGTATTGTTTGAGAGGGTAGGGAGGGGGGAAGGCAGGCAACATAGCAGCTTAATCCAAAATCATAACTTACTAGAAACTGGTCGTTCATCCTTATTGTTCTGAGATTCTGGTAAATTAAGGTCCAAATCAAGGTTGGGGTACATTCTAAACCTAACAGTAGGCTCCCTCATATCTGATACAGCATCATTAGACTCCATACTCCACTGATGCAGGTTTTCAACTTTTGACATACAATTAGTTCATTGTTTTACAAGTGTGGACCAGATCTGAAATAAAAATAACATTATTTAGACTTTTTTAACAGTTTACCCCCAATAAACTGATAAAGTGGCTTTATGGCTGAGGCAAAGCAGTGATTTATAAATTCCATATGTACAAATGAATCTTAATTTTGTACATTTTCTGTACTATAAAACTTGCAAGATTAGCTTCCTCTTTCCTCCCCTGGCATAATGAGATAAGACCAATGGTCTGGTAAGTTAGGGTGCTCTCTGCAGCTAAAGATAAGAGAAGCTTGGTTCAGTCTTCAGGCTTATTTAGTATCTCCATCCCATATACATATGAAGAAAATGTATGTAAATTCATGTCTATGACAGTATGTTAGAATGGGTGTTCAAACATCATACTGTATTGTACATGTATGTGTCTTGTAAAATCACAAATATTTGACAGAGTTGATCTCTAATGAGTGTTACACTACTCCATCAAAATCAACGTTTTTATAATTGTAGGCATACCGTAATACCCTACTTTTTAAAGTTGAATTTCTCCTTTTCCTTTTTGATTTCAAGCTTATAATATCCAAGTATGCTCCTAGAGATTTTCTTCAATTATGATTGCTTTCACAAGATGATGATGCATATATATCTGTAATGGTTACTAATTAGCATTCACTTATTAGACATACAAATGCTACAGACACAATGGTATGCTTGTGCAATAAAAGACACCCTTATAATGCAATCCTTATATGTTAACTTGAGCACCTAACATTTGCATTTAACATGGAACAATCAATTAGTTTATTCGAGTATGTCTTCAAGTTACTAGTGTTAGCATAGGGTGTACATAATAAAAAATTAACAGACTTTCTTAATCCATTTCCAGATAGAGATTGGTATAACTGAAAGTTTTATGTCCCGGGTTTAATGTCAATCTGTCACTTTTGACTGATGTTAGAATGACAATACAGACCTAAATTCTCCGCTATAACATGTCCAGTATTAGAGGGAGGGGCAGCTGGGGAGGGGATATTGAAATTCTAGGTTTCAGATTATAAGGGACTTTTTTGTTAATCGACCCTTGGAATCTGGCCCGGACAAAGTTTTGACATTGACTGAATAACAATTTTAACTTCTATCTAATAAAATGAATTAATGATTATGTTAAAAGTCTCTGAAATTTCCCCCGAATCACATTCTAAATTCTGATTTTTGAAGAACATTTTTGTGTATTTTCCCATGAATGTAACTATGTAATGATACAACATCTATGGAAGCATAGATTTGGCGTATGTTTCTTCAAGCTCGCTGATTGGCGGAAGAAAGGTCAGCGCGTAGGTCAAAAGTGATTTATTACCCAAACTGTCACCGGTACCCATCATGGGGGTGCGGATACTAAACTGTAATATGGTCTCTACTAGGCAGAGTGTAGTTTAACTAGACTCTGCACGCAGGGTAGGCTCTGCACGCAGGGTAGGCTCTGCAGCACCAAACATGGGTTTTATTAGGTGGATTCCCTCCCTACTAGCATCTTCAAAAGAGGTGCGATCTTTCTTGATGAAAAACAATAAGCAACTACATAAAAAAATACTAAAATACTAAATCTATTGAGGAGTGTTATTTCAGAGGGTGGGGGCTTTTTAGAACCCACAAAGTGTGTTTTCAATGGCTGGGCAATTTTATACATGTACAACCATAATGTACGTAAAAGCGAAGATTAGACAGTAGACCTGTAGACCATATCATGATTTCAGAGTCAGAGTTGTAGCCTGGAGCACAAACATGAGCGTTGAAGAGCTTTTCCTTTTAACCTAGATATCACAGTCAGAGAGAATGTTTCTGGCGAAATTCTGGGACTTCAAATACTTTTAAGTTGGGAAACCGGAAGTGCTTACCTTTTTTAATTCCCGAATCTCTCCGAAATTAGCTCATCTTGGTGACTGTAAATTGCACAGCTGTATTCAATGGAGTCTTGTCATATTCGATCAGCCTCAATTTTAAAGTGTATATTTTATTTTTAACGTGATTTCATCGTTTTTTGTCGACTGGTAACAATCCGCGGGGCTAATGGCAAGATGGATGACTTTTGACCTGACCTTGACCGATGGTGATCACGTCATCAATATTACCAAGATGGCGGTTTCAAAATTTTCTAAAATCGCTTCAAATAATATTATGTTAATTCCTAGCGAGTAAAGATATCTCTTAGTTTGCTATTTCACAATAAGATAACAAAATGTGTAAGGAATTCGTATTTATCAATTAAAACATCACATCGACATTTGGTATTCGTAAACTAGACGATGAAGATAACGACCTCGAAAAAAAACAAAAGAGCGGGTACGGGATTCGAACCCGGGCCTCCAGCGTGCTAAGCGAGGATTCTCCCCCTAGACCACCGATATGTTACATATGGTATTGGGATTTAAACGCTACTTATTTTGAATGCTATGATTCGGAAGTGACGTCACGTTCTTCACGTTTTGTTTGAGAGCGAGAACGAGACGTGCCAGAAGCCCGGCTTTTTTGTCAGTCGACCTGTTCAAAGTACATTTAGTTATAATTATCGCTTTCCAGAACAATTTAGGAAACAATATTTTCTATCTACGTCGATTACAAAGCATCTAAGGTACGTAAATTTATATGAACAACTGAGTCAATAGGGATAAATAGCCCAACGAGAGTCGGCGGTCTTAAAAAATACTTGGATCTGGATGCCAGTCCTGGTATAAATATAGTTCCAGGGCAATTCGAAGAACGTATTAGATGTCCGTGCTAGATATTGATGAGTGATCATTCAAAACAGTGTCAATAAATTTTTGAAATGTAGACCTTTTCTAGAGGTCAAATGTAAGATTTTATGATAGATATAGAACTTAAAATTAATTGCTTACATATCTTAACTAATAGTGCTTCTATTGTACGTACCTTATATGCGACTAAAAGGTGTGTAGCGTCAGTAATCACGCAAATAGTAGATGATTTTAGAATCTATCAAAAAATTATTCGACTTCCTGTACAGTGCTGACACCTTTTGGATAGTCTCAAATCCGCTTAACAAATCATTGAATAACCTTACGTTATAAGCTCAAAACCTCACATTAATATGGTAATGTATTGGGTATTCTTATATTTTGCTATATAAAATGAATGAATATAATGTATAATCGGGTAATCTAAATCAATTTGTTTTGTTTGTAACTGAGACTATCTCAGAATTTTTTACCTGGATTTGAACAGTGTAGGTAAGTTCTGCTTATTATGGTGAATTAGCTTCGAATTATCATACAAAAACAGTGTATCATATGATATTTTATTTCTTTATTCTCTAGGGTACCTACTGAACGTGAAATGGACCCATCATATCCACCAGGCGGCTCAAGGCCAATTGGATTTGAAATGCAAGATGCTAGAAAACCAGTGCCATTGGGTAAGTTCATATTCATTGGCATTCAGATTTGAATGCCCTAGTTGAATGCCCATGATATTATGTTGTATTATGGCCGTGCCTGGAGAGCCTTAAAATTTAAGGCTCTCTAGCCAAATGGGTTACCAAAATGCTAAAGAGCCTTAAATTTTAAGGTTCTTTAGCATTTGGGCTAAAGAGCCTTAAATTTTAAGGTTCTTAAGCATTTGGGCTAAAGAGCCTTAAATTTTTAAATCTTTAGCATTTTGATAGCCAATTCTGCTAGAGAGCCTTAAAGGAATTCCAGGCGACAGAAATGATGAAATATTGCTTCTGCCGGACAAGATCAAACGACTTGGACATATTCTATACCCAACCTATTTTGTTATTTAACAATCAGCACAAATATACATACCATATTAGCAGATATCGGACAAATTCAAAAAGAAATATGTTTTGATCGATAAAATCACTGATTATTAAACCGGAAGTGTCTTCTCTGAGGTCCGCGAAGAAGATGAAGAAGAAAATATAAAGATTTCAGGCAATTCAATTTTGCCGTCGATTTAAAATGGTTCTAAATAATCTTTGAATGCTTACTTTGACTTCTATTAGTGCTGTTTGACTTCCCCACTTCATAAAAAAACATTATCACTTTTTGCTCGACTCACAAATTTACTTCCGGTCTACCGAGAGAAATGAAAGTTCTTAGAACCTTTTCAATCCTCAGTCTAAATTCGGCTTTTTAAAGGTTCAAACATCGACTTTGAACGGACCTTCATGTATATATCGAAAATATATGTCTCTGGTTCACCAGAGAGGACCGACCAGGCAATCACGTATATAGCCAGAAAAATGTTATTTTTACCATTTTATCCACTATAAATCACGACATCAGTTTAGTAAAGATCTTGACGTATAGACCTTTATTGATGGATTGGAGGCTAGGATAAAAATGCTGTTGTGTTGCATAAGCCGCTGTTTCCTCGGCAGTTCACCTCTTGTACTGATTTTCTTTGTGCTCTCTCATGTGCTTAAATTCTCACTTGGAGGAAGACGTTTTTGCAAAATATTACATGTATGCAAAAATATCTCGTCACGTGAAAAATTCTAAAAAACAGCATTGAAATCTAATGGGCAATAGATTTGGAAGTGTATTCTGTAATGTCCCTTGGCTGATGTCCCTGCATTCACGATAAACTGCGTCATGATGAGCTGTATTTAGAAGAAACAAGATCCTTTTCATAGATATATGCATAGGCCCTTCGGAGAATTTAAGGTGTGGGTACTATGGGAGTCACATTTATCGATGAAATGATACATACAATTAAGGTCGTACAATTAAAGGACTTTTGAGCGGAAGTTTTTGCAAAAAGTTGTAAAAAAATATCTTGTCACATGAAAAATCTTATAAAGCCTATAAACAGCATTGAAATCGTACAGGCAATAGATTTTGAAGTGTATCATGTGATGTCCCCAGGCTAATGTCCCAGCATTCAAGATAAACTGCGTCAAGATGTGCTGTATCTAGAATAAACAAAATCCTTTTTCATCCCCAGGTCTTCATCATCCTTTTTGCCATCTTAAAATGAGATTACCTGTATTCTCTAAGCTTGTGACTATAGCAAAGCCAATACAAGTGATTGATTTCATTAAACATTGATGATTGAGCGATGGAGCCAGCCCAATAATTCTAGAAAAAATTGTGTACATAATTGCCGGACCTCAGAGAACAAACTTCAGGCTTGTTATTCATAATAAAAAAGTGCTTCATCAGGGAATCGAACCCACGCCGGAGAAGTGAAAGGGGAGCTCCTTAACCACTATACCAGAGTGTTTTTCATGATTGGGTGAAAGTTTTTGCAACTCTATATTGATATACATGTGTGAAATCTTTAGGTGGCATTCTGGGTTGAAAAACTTTCGAGAGTGTTGTTTTATTGTTTACATGACGAAAACTTCAATAAAAAACAATATAAACACGGATTATAAACACAAAGGCTCTCTAGCCAAAACACTATGTTCACAGCTAAATAGCCTTAAATTTTAAGGCTCTTTAGCATTTTGGCTAAAGAGCCTTAAATTTTAAGGTACTCCAGACACTTCGTTGTATTATATCACAGATGTTTGCCAGATCGTTTTGTAGTAGGATCTCATAGGGTCAAAGAAGATTTCTGAAGAAATGACACCTTATTGGAAAATTTCAAAAAAAAGTGACCACCCTTCAAAACGTTCCATTTACAAGGTGGTACCTGCTTCCCCGTGACAGATCTTGCACTAATTTAAAGCTGAGATCTTCATCTTTCTATTTCTACCTAATGTTTGTGAAGATAAGTTATGGATGCAGCAATTTAACTTTAAATACATCAAAAAAGGTAAAGAATAACAAAATGCTTCGAATGAGGTATGATTTGTCTCATATTATCTAATTCAAATATTTTAATATTCACATTGAAAATATTTTGAGTTGCTGATTAAAAACGATTACAATTATGTCTCACTTTATAAACGCTACTCCATGCAGAAAATTAAGACACATTTTATGAGCCATTTGATGACAAGCCTTGAGAAGTGTTTCATTCTTTATATTTTTATGTTACATTTTCCCGTGGATGTACCTTATATATGTAGTTTTGTGAATCTGTGATTTTTCCTGAGTAACAAGTAATCTACTATAAGAAATTATTGATCAAATATGACACAAAATTTTGTTTCCTTCACAAGGCCGTAAAATATACTCAGGTCATATTTCATCTAATTTGCGTGATAACACATTTGATGGTTTCACTCATACATGTTTTAATACCTTATGTCAACGACAATGTAGATTACACTTAATGGTCTATTATGTATTATCCAGGTATAAAGGGCAGTAAAAGTATGGTAACCATCATACTTGTCGCATATTGTAACTAGTACAATGGAAGACCTCAGATTTAAGGAGTATCCTAATATCAGAGCATGTTGCTAGTGTTTTAAAGATGTGATGATTAACAGAATACTGAATGTCTCAATGATTAAGGAATATAGGGTCCCCATCCCAAGAAGCCACTTTCTGTATAGTTATCAAAAATAGGCGTTGGTAAAATACAATTCCAACTCACATTATCAAGTAATAGTCAACATGTTCATTTGTGCTGTTAACCTCAATTCTGCAGTTCAAATAATGTTCGGTATATTGATTTTTTCAATAAGGACCCTTTATTTATTGTTGAGCACACAGAGGTATGTTAACAAGTAAAAAACGTGGCTTTTTATTTGACCCTGCCAATATAATTTTACATTTATTTTATATTGATTTTTAAACTGCAAGATTGTGACTAAAAGCATAGTCATATGTCTTCAATGTTCAATGTTTGTGGTTAGTTGTATGCCTAATTACTTCGTAATACATTGAACATCTTGTGTTTGGTTTCATGAATTGAAATTTTTGGCCAGGTGTAGTTTTTTTGTCTCATTCCCTCTTGTGCTTTCTTGTATATTTTAGATGGATTGACCTTTTGAAAAATCAAAAAATATATATTTTAAAAAAGTTGTTTCTTGTATTTTATATCACTGAAATTAGTTTCATGTTAGATAGATAATGTTATTCATACAAAATTATAATCGTGATAACAGTCACCATTGTAAAAGAATGAATCAGTCAATTTATAGGTGCATCTCATACATGTTTATGTTTAGTTTGTTTGCACTGATACCTCATGTCAATTTGACCCTTGATTTGTTTATGGCAATTCCATTTTCTTAAAAAATTTGAATGACTTGTCTTTACTACTTTCTGACATTTCTGAACAATATAAAGTGTTGACTATTTGCCTATTTACTTCATTCCTTGCCGAGTCCACTATTTTTCTCTCTATTTAGATATTTTAACATGACTTTATGTGTTTGTCGTACTGATAACCTTTGCTTTCAGCACTTTACATAAAGTTATTGCATTAAGTCCCTATAATGGATTACTTATTAATCATCTGTATATTGTTGTCCAACATTGAATATAATGTTTATTCCTATTAAAAAGTATGATATAACACTGGTGGATTTGCCCCCCTCCCCCTTAGGATGCGATGGGACCAGGTACGGGATTCGAACCCGGGCCTCCAGCGTGCTAAGCGAGGATTCTCCCCCTAGACCACCGATATGTTACATATGGTATTGGGATTTAAACGCTACTTATTTTGAATGCTATGATTCGGAAGTGACGTCACGTTCTAAATTTCAAAAAAAAGTGACCACCCTTCAAAACGTTCCATTTACAAGGTGGTACCTGCTTCCCCGTGACAGATCTTGCACTAATTTAAAGCTGAGATCTTCATCTTTCTATTTCTACCTAATGTTTGTGAAGATAAGTTATGGATGCAGCAATTTAACTTTAAATACATCAAAAAAGGTAAAGAATAACAAAATGCTTCGAATGAGGTATGATTTGTCTCATATTATCTAATTCAAATATTTTAATATTCACATTGAAAATATTTTGAGTTGCTGATTAAAAACGATTACAATTATGTCTCACTTTATAAACGCTACTCCATGCAGAAAATTAAGACACATTTTATGAGCCATTTGATGACAAGCCTTGAGAAGTGTTTCATTCTTTATATTTTTATGTTACATTTTCCCGTGGATGTACCTTATATATGTAGTTTTGTGAATCTGTGATTTTTCCTGAGTAACAAGTAATCTACTATAAGAAATTATTGATCAAATATGACACAAAATTTTGTTTCCTTCACAAGGCCGTAAAATATACTCAGGTCATATTTCATCTAATTTGCGTGATAACACATTTGATGGTTTCACTCATACATGTTTTAATACCTTATGTCAACGACAATGTAGATTACACTTAATGGTCTATTATGTATTATCCAGGTATAAAGGGCAGTAAAAGTATGGTAACCATCATACTTGTCGCATATTGTAACTAGTACAATGGAAGACCTCAGATTTAAGGAGTATCCTAATATCAGAGCATGTTGCTAGTGTTTTAAAGATGTGATGATTAACAGAATACTGAATGT